ATAGGTGTACAAACGTGGATGGTAATCTGGTAAATAACCAGATCAAACCCCAACAGGAATTCGTGCAAACAGAAACCCAAACGAATCAGGAAACCTTCGATGATTCGACTCATGAACAGTTATGAGTCGACTCATAACCTCATATGAGCCGACTCATAACTGATGAGTCGACTGGTCAGAGACTTTTGCTAACAGGGCTTGAGTTCTTGTGTTGACTCATGATAGGCATGAGTTAACTCAACCTGATGAGTCGACTCATGTACATGTATGAGTCAACTCACGAGCTGAAAACTGGATTCTTCGAATCTGCTGCTCGTCGTCTCGTTTCACGCTTCCCCTACGTTCCACTGTACTGATTGACATCTCTATTCTCATGCTATCATGAGAATCATCTATCCTCAAGCTCCCATAAGGATCGCTAAGTTCCGAAGAGAAAATACACCCGTATCATGCTTTGATTCTTCGTTCTTCCGACTCGCTTCACGCTCCATCCTGTGCTCCGCCGTATCGCTTCACACCACTATTCTCAAGATATCATGAGAATCACCTATCCTCAAGCTCCCATGAAGATCACTAAGCTCTCGAAGCAGAGAAGAAGATACACACGTATCACTAAACCTACATTGAACATCATACAACAAGCTTTCTCTAATAGGGTTCTATTCATACGTTCTGCCACTCCATTCTGTTGCAGTGTGCGAGGGACTGTACGATGTCTAACGGTTCCCTCCTTCTTACAGAACTCATTAAATTCTCCTTCACAAAATTCAAGGTCATTATCAATTCTAAGCCTCTTAATCAGCCACCCAGTCTGTTTCTCAATCAAAGACTTTCATTGCTTAAAAGTCACAAACACCTCATATTTATGTCTTAAAAAGTAGACGCAAACCTTCCTAAAGTAGTCATCAATGAAGGTCAATAAATATCTAGAACCACCACCCCTCGATGCAATTTGAGAAGGTCCCCAAATATCTGAATGGATATAGTCCAAAGTACCTTTAGTCTGATACATTGTCGTACTGAAGCTGACTCTTTTCTACTTCTCAAAGATGTAATGCTCGTAAAATCCCAATTTTCCTATACTCTGTCCACATAAAAGACCCTTCTTACTCAACTCAGTCAATCCACGCTCACCCATATGACCAAGTCTCATATGCCATAATCTGATAGTATCAACTCCTGACATCGACAATGCAACTGCAGCCGAGCCAGTAATTGTAGAACCCTACAAAACATACAAGTTGCCGATCTTCTTTCCCTTCATAAATACAATAAAGCCTTTTGTAACCCTAAGAAGTCCACCTTCACCTAAAAATGTGCACTCAATGCAATCAAGAGTGCCCAAAGAGATGAGATTCTTCCTTAAACCTAGAACATGCCTAACACCTGTCAAAGTTCTAATGACTCCATCATGCATCTTAATCTGAATTATGCCTTCCTAGCAGTCTTGTATATATGATACGTTGTTCCCCATAAGAATAACTCCACCATCAATAGCTTCATAAGTGGTGAACTAGTCCCGATTAGGACACATGATAGGAACAACCCAAATCCAAAATCCAATCATCCATGCTCCTGTTTATATCATATGTAGCCAACAAAATCACATCTTCAGTAATATCAACTTCAGTGGAGTCCTCCTTTGATTTTCTTCATACTCTTCTTGTTTATTTTTGTTCTTCAATCTGTAAAAATCAGTCTTGACATGCTCTTTCTTCTTGCAATATCTACAAGTCAGATTCCTGTGTTTCGACTTATACATGTTACCTCCAAAGCCCCTTTTCCGATCTTCCTCGAACAAACAAGCCATCAGCTTTATCGCCACTTTCACTTGTGGTTAACTCTTTGTTGATCTTCTCCGTATTCAATAAGTTCTCTTTGGCGTCCTTGATACCAATAGAATCTCGACCGTAAATCATAGTATCCCTGAAGTGTTTGTAGGAAGGCAGCAAAGAACACAATAACAATAGGGCTTGATCTTCATCATTGATCTTAACATCAATCTTACTCAAATATGTAATCACAGAATTAAATTCACCAATATGAGATTTGATAGGTGTTCCTTCCGACATCCAAAGTGTGTACAAACGCTGCTTCAAGAGGAGGCGATTAGTGAGCGACTTCATCAAATACAAATCCTCCAATTTAGACCACAAATCAGCGGTTGTTTTCTCCGTGAGAACTTCTTGCATAACTTCATTTGTCAAACATAATTGGATCGTTGTGAGAGCTCTATCTTCCAACTGGTTCCAATCTTCCTCCGTCATAGTAACAGGTTTCTTTGACTTCCCGAACAAAGCCTTCTTCAATCCACTCTATGTCAACACGGCGATCATTCTAACTTCCCAAAGGCTGAAACTGATGTTGTCTTCAAACTTCTCAATATTCCACTTCGTAGTAGTTGTCGTCATCTTCTCGTCTGATTGATAGCTGAGGGCTCTGATACCAATTTGTTATGACAAATTCCCCAGGATAAGCTAATATCAATCACACGAAAGCACGAAAAATATCATGAACACACGAACACAAAGATATACGTGGTTCGGCTTGTAGCCTACGTTCATGGGCAAAGAAGGAGAAAAGCTTTACTAATTGTGAGGAATACAAAGTGAAACCTCTCAATCTCCCAATCCTAAATAACACCCCAAAAAACCTAATACAATTTGCCATTGGCAGCGACAAGTGGAGCATTAACGCATCGACGCTCAGTTAGAACATCTACATATATATAGCCGAAGTTTTTTAAATATTATATCGACAGAGGGGGTTGACTAAGAATACTAACGTGATAAGTTATCCTATACGTCCGCCAACCCCGACGACAACAAACAAAACACCCCAGTTCTACAGTTTCTATAGTGTTAAATGACAAAATAGTTCAAAAGAAATCATTTTGAGCACATTACTTTCATCCCATTTTCACTGAAATATACAACTGCCTTAAACAAGTTTCTTCCGTTTCAAACACTTACAAATTTCAACCCAAGCACAATTGAACACCTTACTTAACAAAGTAAGGGAGGTTGAGCACGTAGAACAAGAAATAAGCCCACGTAACACCCGAAATTCCCCCAAAAAAGAACCCTCCGGAGAACTGGGCCCACCCATCAGCCGTCTGAAGCTTATCGGCCTCCTTCTTACGGCCGGTGAGTGTCAAAGATGGTGCGGTGGACGGCTCCCCCTCCTTGAAGGAGGCGATGCCGTACATGGTGAGGCAGATGCTGAGGATGACAACTAGGCCGGCGGCGGCGAGAGAG